TTGTGAATTTGGTCTTAAATTTTTATTTCAAGTGGCATTAAAAAGTCTTAAAAAGTCTTGAATTTAACTGGCCTTATGCTGTAGGAACCCTGGATGAGCCTTTCAGAAGGACTCCTCTCATCTGTTGTCCCAGAATTAACTTCATCAGATGATAAGAATCAACATTTTCCTCTCTCATTAGAAGAAATAATAAATCATTTTTAACAGGATAAAATTAGCCACTGTTTTTCAGAATTAGACATTTTGTGCTTATATGGAAAATGATTAAATAATAGCTATAATATCTGTGGTTTCCTTCCCTTTTTCAGTCTGTAGATGGTGACATAGTGATGCTGTCAGCCCACTGGGAGAGAAGAAAAGCCGCTCTGACGAACCTCCAGGAACAACTGCAGAGCCTACCAGATTTCATCACTGAACTCGATGCCATTACTGCAAACATAGGTGTGTTTCATTTTAAATGTCCTTTCTTTAAATCCTGTCATCACTGCATGGATAGAAACTTTGAACCCATCTGACTGTATGATCTTTTTGAATTGTCTTTGTAAAGTTCTCTTAATTGACATGTGTTGTGAATGAGCGCTATTTAAATAAAATTAATTAAATCGAATCTATTAAGCATCTGTTCAAAAGTTGTAGAAGTGGGACATATGATGCATTCAAAAAAAGTTAAAAACAATCCTCTGGACTTTGTTTCCAAGTTTTTTCTCTTCCATTCAGGAAACTTTTTAAGTTGAAAATGTCAGAAATAGCGTTGAGGTTCAGATTTTATCCAGCAGCCAAACAAAGCCTGGTTTTTGTTTAGAAAACATGCAAAAGGAAACGGATGAACGGGTCCCCCCCTTTGGAATGGGGGTCATTTGGCTTCTTTTGTTAGCCTGCAGTGCCTCATACCCGTCTATGGCTACATTCTCACTGCAGGCCTTGATGCTCAATTCCGATTTTTTACATAATCCGTTTTTTTTTGCGTTGCCGTTCATATTTCCAAATACATGCGACTTGTATGTGATCTCCTGTGTGAACTGCACTCATACAACGCAAGAGTCCCGCATGCGCAGTAGAGGACGCAATGACATCACAGGCCAGCATGCTCTTTTTTTCTGGAAGTAAACATGGATGTTAGTACCGGCGCGCATCTAGCGGTCTTTTCCAACCATAAAATCTCATTCTTTTCAATATGTTTAAACAT